TGCACCAACCCCTTGACAGAGTTCTCTGTCACCAATTCACTTCCACGCCGTTAATTAAGGGGTTGAAACTGTGCGCCATGCCGTCATCGACTTGGCCGTCGTGTCACGCTCGGCACGCGGTTTCTCTTCACTCTTACTTCTGTGTATTATACGATATCTGTGAAGAAAATGCACTGGTAGCCATTGCAGTTGTATGAGAAAAGGGCTCATCAGTTGCAACTATGCGGCTAGCATAATCTGTGAGGAAGATTCAATTACTCGGTTTGTCTCTGCGCATTTCTTCGCCATTCTCGGATCTACTGGGCATTGGCATTAACAACAGACCATAGCTTCAACATTCACGTGGAACGCCCTCTGAGGGAGATTCACCGCTGTACCTATACTTACACCAGCGACACATTAAAATCAATTGATGTCCGCGGAATGGTTTATCGATCGCAAGAAATCTTTGCTACATCTTTTAGATTTTTGCTTCCAATTATCTGGAAGTGGGACTACTGTAATATCTATCGCAGATATGGATCGAATAATTCAGAAAAAGTGTGACTTGCTAATGAAATGCTAATAAAAAAAATTGTCGGCAGAATAGCCATCAGGAGTTTTTAACATCATCTTTTCTTCCCTGACTTCAATCGTGATTGCAGCGGCGTTTCGTTTACCTCCTTCCCCCAAAGGGATATAAGACGTTAAACTTGTTTCGTGCTCCCTTCAATTTATATTTCTTCAGTCCTCCTTGAGATTCGAGTAACTCACCAGTCCTTTTGTTTGTAAGTGAAAATACAACAAATAAGTCAGTTAAGTCAGGTCTTCACTCCTCAAGCCCCATTGTTTTTCCATCCAGTTCAATTCTTGAGGCATTCCGGGAATCATTCGTCATGGCCACTCATTAGTTTTTGCTTCGGGTGTCACAATATTTTCTCCTCAACAGATCTTCATTTTTTTTGTTTGTACTTTTTTTCAAAAATATTTTCTTCTCCTTCAAATGTGCCGATACAGTGAGAAGGTATGTTCTTCACTTGTTTCGTTTACAGACCGTTTAATACTCAAAGATGTCAGGTACTGATCCAATCATCAATTTTTTTTTCTTCATTCCCCCATAATCCCCATGAACAGGTTGGGGTATACCTGCGTCTATTTGGGCGTTACGTCTAGAGGGGGGGACGCAGCAGTTTAAACATAAATAATGTTGCTTTATGCCGGAGGAAAAATATAATCTGGTCGTATAAAATACTTTGGTAAGGTACATCTCATGAAAAATGATCGAGTAGGAGGACAGCAAGTGTGAAGAGCCTCATTTTTCCCATATATATTATCGAAAAAACATCGATTGTCAGGTGATGTTATGCGTTACCTCCCCTGGAAACACTTTAACGAGACCCCGAAATGTTGAGTTATGCACCGAAGACGTGGTGAAGGAGGAGGATGGAAGCGAGAGTAAAAGGAGAAACGAGAGGCCCGGTTTCCGAAGGCAAGGTGGCCGCCGATTCACAGCGAGTGACCGATGCCTCTTCTTCGTTGTGTTGCCCCCCCTCTACTCTACTCTACTCTACTCCACTCTACTCTACCATGCCGCTTTCCAGACACATCACTTTTGTATTCTCGACGCTCGTTGCTTAGTTCTGGGCATTCTTCAATGTTCACGGGAGCCTCCCTCGGCGTTTATTCTGGCTCATTTATCCCTCGACGAATATCGTATGCGGCCAGAGAGCCCCTCTTTTTGCCATTTCGTACCTCTTCAACGCTTCTATTTTGCCTGTATTTTTACCAAATGCCCTGTTTGCTGTGCCCTGTACAGGTGTCAAGCAAAAAAAAAACCCCATTGGCCCACAGTGTAATCCCCTCTTGGATCCTCTTTCACGCTTCGTGTCACACCATTTTTTTCTTCTACTATTTTCGTTTCTTCGAAACCAACAATTCAATAAACTTGAGATTCTTCTTCTGGAAAGGTCAGTCACAAAAAATTGTGAAGAATACTGCTGTTACGATGATTTCTTCTCAGTTTGTTGAATGGATTCAATATTCACAGCTCAATAACAAATTTGTGCATTTGATGGAAAAAAAATAATCTCATTTCCCTGGAAATGCAGAGAATCATTGACATTAGAAAACCATTTTAAAGTGGCCATTCTGCCCCACTCAGAAGGCTATTATAAATAGTGGTGTGTCTGCAGAGTACGAGGGCAGGAGATTGCAGCGAGTAATGAGACAGATAAATGAGACTCAGTGAGTAGTTGGCGAGGAACTCGGGTAAAAACCGATGCAAGATCTATTGGACAAGCATGACACATGAGATTGGTGCAAACGTTGAAAACAATTGAAGGTTTATTCCCAATGGACGACTGAGTGAATCCGTTGTTATGCCACCTAAACTCGTCAATTGAAAATGTCAGCGTGAGACTTGGCCATATTGCATGGACATCTCACGCGACCATTACCCAAAACCCACGCGGGCCATTATCCTTGGCAACTAGAAAATCCTGTGGTTCGTTTCAGGGACTGAGAGAAGAGAGAAGAACCGACATTCCCCTGGAGTTGTATCGCCGCTGAAATTGCGGTTCCCTGTGGTTCTCGGTGATTCTTAACGCTTTTATTTTTCCTTCTTTTCACGGCTCCCCAGCGATAAACGATAGGCAAAATGTTGAGTGAGACAATGGTGAAGGTATGGCGAAGGTATTCGATGAACAATAGACGAATGACAAATCCATTGCCATATAAATGCACAGTTAAATTCAAGACTAGTGAGGAAATTCAATATCAATTATGTACTGTTGAAATAAATTAAACGTCTAGTGCACCGTAATACAGGTTTACACTATTTGTATTCGCCAGGAGAAGGAGTCCGCGAAAGAGTCCGTGTCGACGCTCCCACGCGGCTATAGGATCGGTGAACAATTAGTGGTACATATACCACCAAGAAAATAAATGTCAAACACTGAAATAGGCATGTATCGCACACGGACATCAACAACCCACGCTTTTACTCTCTTTGATTGTTGTAGATTCACAAAAGGGAGGAACAATACCATTTTCTTTTTCTATATGTGTATTGAGCGAACCACTGAGAGCAGTAGAGTATAGTCTAACAAAAAAACGACAATAATTAAGTTCCTTTTGTTTTTTTTTTTCATTATATTCTCTGTTTATATATATATATAATGGACATCGTGGAAGAGGCGTTGGCCCCAGAGATATTCGTATGCAGTTGCCAAGAAGAGATATACGCGAGGAGTATGCGTAATCAGTCGTACAGTACACGTTTAGTTTTGTTGTTTGTTAGTTGGGAGGCAAATGCAACCAATAGAATTAGCAATGCAATCGATTGAGTGGAAATAAATATTCAGGGCTAAATTGAAAAATATAAATTGAGGTGATATTTGGAGAATACCAATGTGTGTGGAAGAAATTAAGGGGTGGGCCTGAATCTCACAGCGCCAAGACACGCTCGTTGTCGGAAATAACGACATAATAACGCGGTGGGAGATGAGTGCCGGAGGTAAATCCAAGACGACTCGCTGACCAGGATAAGAGCAAAGCAGGAGAGAGCGAGAGAGAAAGAAAAAATAAAAAATGAGCAAAAACGAGTCTGTTTGAGAGCAGTTGATGCTGGTATTTTGTTATTCTTTTCCTTCATTCTCCCTCATCAATATATGCTCTCACTGCACTACTACAATTTGGTAAAGAAGAAATATGTTATCTGGGCGATTTAATTTGACCTCTGTCTCCACGAAGACTCACTACTGGCAGTGTCAAGTTGATACTTTTGTCCAGTCTGTCTGTTAGTTTGTAGAATGGTTGAAAGAGTCCCTAATGGGCTCAGTGAAGCTCGCACCCGCACGAATATCACATGCACTAGCATCACGCTCTCTTTAACGCCAAATCGCCCCAATTTTGCCCACTATTTAGCGTTGCTATGCTTCACCGCAGCCAAATTACCTGGCTGTACAGACTCACATGCACATCAAATGCTTCTCACACACATGACTCAATTTTCCCTCGCCTGCACCACTGCGAAACATGTGTACGTATATTTGGGGCTACATTTATATGTATGGTTATATTGTACGTGTATATCCGTCATAGTGGAAATCATACTGTCTCACTTTAGTTACGCGGTCCTCTAGCGAATCTACCGGAAAATTTGATTGATCACCCGACGGAGCAGAGACCTCTTGATTTTATCACTCTATGGTCATCTATCCCTATCAACGCTTTCGCGTGTGCGTAAATGCGTGTTTTTCCAAGCTTTTTTACCTTTTTTTTATCTGCAGCGCTTTTTTTCTGTATAGGTTTTCGACCTCTTGATGCCATTTTTTCTCATTTGTCGTGCGGTTTTATATTAACACTGTGACACTTGGTTATCAACGCGATTCCTGAATGTTCGAATTACTCTTGATAAAATTATAAAATCGCCAAATTCGAATTTTTTAGCCGGCTGAACGTTGATTCCAACTATTTAAGCGCCGGGCTAGTCAGAACTGTCAAAAGTATGTGGAAAAAATGAAAACTACGAAACCGTTTTTTTTGGCCCCAGCCAAAGGGTCAGATTTTCGCGTTTTCCGGGGCAAGTGGATTTTCGCCAAAATCCATTTTTTTAGCCGGGTGAACGTTGATTCCAACTATTTAAGCGCCGGGCTAGTCAGAACTGTCAAAAGTATGTGGAAAAAGTGAAAACTGCGAAACCGTTTTTTTCGGCCCCAGCCAAAGGGTCAGATTTTCGCGTTTTCCGGGGCAAGTGAATTTTCGCCAAAATCGAATTTTTTAGCCGGGTGAACGTTGATTCCAACTATTTAAGCGCCGGGCTAGTCAGAACTGTCAAAAGTATGTGGAAAAAATGAAAAAAAAAAGTTTTTTCACCGGAGGCCAAAGTGTCGGATCTTGGATTTTATAAGGTACCAACAAATTGATGAGTTGTTAGTAGAAAATAGTAACACTATTCAGTAAATTGATGTAGTTGAAAAGAGAAAATTAAGAAAAAAAAAACTTTAGTAAATACCACTTACCATAGAGACAGGTATAGGTCCTCCGGCACCGTTCGGGTAGGGGTACGGCGAGACAAGGTAGCCCATGTTGAACGAGGAGGTGTGCGGCGTTGGGTCCACCTTTCCTGCTCGAACAAATAAGAAAGGCTCGTGTTTATCCAGCGATTATACGTTTCGTTCGTTTTCGTTTCAACATACCTCAGTGTTATATATATATATATATATATATATATATATATATATCATGTAGCGCGTTATACAATGAGAGAGAAGAATACAGCAGAAAAGAGGAGTCGAACCAATCCCAGTATAATATAAAATTTCGAGAAACTAACGCGAGACAAACACGCATATCATTTGTTCTCTTCTCTTTTTTTTTTGCTTCTCATTCAATTCCTCTTTAATCACTTTTGTTCAGAGAATCTACGCTCGTTTGATCAACACAACAGTTGACTATTATCGAATTAGTATCAATTACATTTCCTTCTAGAGTCTTTCCTTATAGATTTATCACTGTCGCAGTGTTCCACAGTAGGAGGGAATGGTAAAACGTTCATTATTCTGGCATTTAATTTTTGGAGCTTGTAAATGATAATTGAGCGAGTTGTGTAATAAATGTAAACGCGAGACACTGAAAGAAAGAAATTGAAATTTTATGGGTAGTTGACTAGTAATTTTCAGGAGAGTGACACGAAATAATTGAACTAAATTTTATAGCTTTCGTTGGTTGTTGCATAAAATTTTCACTTTTCAATGACAAAATTCCTCAAAAAGTAGGGAATGTTTCAGCCAAAATTTTGTTAACAGTGGACTGATGACATTTAGTGGGTTAAAAATTGTTAAATTGATTCGAGAAGCCATACGATGAAAACACACTGTGCGGTTAGTGAAATCAAACACCTTGCTTTCATCCAATAGTTATGTCCTCACAGCTTATCGCACGAGATGTAAATAATCTGATGTGTAACGCATAGTTGAGATATGGAGGGATTGGGCTCGATAACATCAACTCTTTAAATCAGGCCTTTATATTTCTCTCAAAATTAATGTGCGGATAAAAATCCGAGGTGTTTAGCTGTTTAATAATTCAGTCGATTTACCTCGGAAATAATCAAAAGTGTCGTAAGTCTTTTGGCGATTCGAAATTCCTGTTTATGCAAGGGGAATCCATAAAAGGAGTGTGAACAGTCTTGTTAGCTCACTTGAGATATTCATGCAATGTGGTTTTTTTGCGATCTTATAGTAGGAGAAATCCGGAAGTGTTATCTGGAAGGATATCAGGGTTGTACATGAGCCCTGAAGAGAAAATTAAGTTTAAAGTCAATGTTCGTGAAATTGTTGGCAAGAACATCCAAGTTTTCATAAGTAGATCCTTAATTTTCAGTTTAATTCAACAACAAAAGTTTCTTATATTTCCTCACAAAACTTTGCATTCGTCCCGAAATATTGTGGAATTTCATAAAATTGGAGAGAATCAACATTTTTTATCTGTGAATTCTCATTGGAATTTCACATTTAGAGGAGATAAAGACAACAAACACTTAGATAAGACGATTGCAGGTTAAAACCAACGACTTCCTCGTTAATTGTTGTTATGAAATATCGACGCCACTGTCGTTGAAAGTAAAATCACGGCAGTAAATGACTTGAAAATGTTGTGACAGTGTGACAATAATTATTAGAATTAAGAATTGATAAGTTCCTTTTCAAATAGGAATGAAAAGGGTATTCCACCACTTGTTTTAATTTTTCGAAGAATATGCTCATTTGAATTCTTCTAATTTTCACAACTTATTGAACTGAAATTACAATTTCCATTGAATTTCTTATGAAATTGGGTAAATTGTTGAAAAATATTTCAAATAATTTTCGAAACAGTCATTTTACCTGGGGTTTCTTCCAGAGTTTAAAAGAAGAATTAAAGACTTTTTCTCCATCTGCGTCATCATATAATAGCAACCAAACGGAAGAGAAGATAGACAGATACGAAAGACTGTAGAGGGAGTGGAGATTAGACCGAATTTTGTGTTAGGCACAAACACACAACTCAAGTGACGATAACAACAGTGGAAATAAAATGTGAATAGCCTTGTGATGGAAGAGATTTGAAATTTGGTTTCAGTCGTGATGCACAAGATTTTCTAATACGGGTGCGGATGAGTGCGAGTTGTTTCGTGGCACATGTGCGCGCCACACGCCTTGCACGTTCAAGTTTATTACTGACATGTAGAGACTCACATCCGTACATCTTCTCTGTTACTCACCATGATGTTCAGCCACTCCTCGCTTCTTAGCAATGCATACCATCCATCCGTCCGCCTCTCTTTCCACCCTCCCTTATCTTTCCGCAGCTTTAACTCTGTCGGTCTCAAAGTTGGCACTTTCTATTTCTCTGTTGGGACTTGGTCGAGTTACGGTTGTTTTCAATTTTCTGCCCATTATAAATTGCTAATTCTCACGTTTTAATAATGACATAACACTGGACTCCATTAGCGCCTAAGATACAGTCGCAATAACAATATTTTTTCCATTCGATGATCTGTGGCAACTGTGTTTCTTCACTCGTAATTTCTGATATTTATGAATTTATAAATTAGTGCAATAAGCTCATAAGTGGAAGAAAAGAAAAACGATAAACAGAAAGAAAGCAACTAGGCCCTTAATATCATTATGGGGACGAGGCTTGTGTGTACAGGCTTGTTGTCGGCTGGTAAATTACTATAATTGTGAAGTTCCGGTGATTTTCAGATTAGCTCTGGTCCATCAACGTATAACCTACCTAACCGATCTACCGACACCAGTAGAGCGAGTGAGAGAGAATTCTCAAATCTCAGACCTACGATGAGGGAGGGTCTAATTCTTCGTGGAAGCTCATCACATTGTGAGTCACAAAATTATAGTCTTGTTTCGAAAAAAAAAAAAAAAAAACAAATGGCATCCAATTTTTTCACTTTATGCACAAGACAATATTTTAGAAATTTCCCCATTGAAAACGCAGGAAAATTCCACCTGGAATGCGAGATTTATTGGACGGAATTCTCCCTGAATCCCCTTGGGGAGTAGTTTCATACGGAGCCACCATTTCCGAGATTGAAGAATTAATTTCAGACATAATACGTGTTCTGAATGTATGTTTTGGGTTTTCCCTCCCACGACCACTGTGTCCGAAGAGCGCATAAACTACAACAAAGTGAGAAAACGAACGATGTTTGAGTGGGATGAAAAGAATGAGGGGGTTTTTACGATGTTCTGCCGTTTTTCCTGGAGAGAGAAGAAGAGAAAAAAAATGTACGATGAAAAAAGGTCAAGGATTACTGCACCCTCATGGGACAGAACAACTGTACAGATTCCAAGCAAAGTCCCGAGTGAAGATAGAGATCCATACCATGGCCCTTGACCCTCTCTATGTCAACAGAAAATGCGTGCTTGTGTACGGTCTCATGGGTTTCGACACGGGGGGTCTGTCTCGTCTGGTCAGGTCCAGTCTGCTTTGGTGTGGTAGTTTCTCTCAAAAAGAAAAAGAAGAGAGAGAAGGAAAAATAAGGGGAAAACGAAGGGAAGAATTATTTAGTGTTTTCGCCCACCACTACAACTATATACACTTTTCGTGTGCTTTTGTGCAACAAGTGCAATACTCTAGCTGGCTATATTGCTTTTAGTCACGGAGTTTTTCCACGGTTGTACCTAAGGATGAAGGATCAACATTTGCACGACAAATGGCTGTTAAATTACAAGTTTTAGTTCACATTGTCAAGTCTTGTGGAGCAATGGAAAAGCACGAATTAGTGGCCCATAGACCGACTAAACAGTCATACCACGTATTATGGATTTTTCTTTTTTTTTTTTTTTTTTTGGCATATTCATTTTTCTCTGCAATATCCAACCGGCACGTTTATTATGAATTTTATCACGTGAGTTAAGGATCAAATTATTTTGGGTAGAATTTCTTAGTTAGCGAGGAATGAGAAGAAAGAAGAAAGAAACAAGGCAGTTCCCCAAGGTACTCGGTCGTCGTGCTGTACCTCTCGTGTAATAAGAGACGCCATGCGGACAATGGCTGGTTCGACCAAGGCTGCGAGCTGTTGTGGGGTATACCTCTTGGAACCAAACTGAGCTGAGAATTCTCTAAACGAATGAGTCAATTCGAAAAACTCAAAATGAGAAAATAAAAAAAATGATACGGTATTATTTACCGAGACGAGAGAAACAACAGAGTGTGCTGTATAGAGGGGAATGCGCGGGCGCGCGCGCGCGCCAATTTCAGCGATAGCGTTGAGATAACAAAACCATGAAAGATAAAGATGACTCGGTTGCGTGACAACAAACCAGGACACAGAGCAAGAAGAACGCTTGACAGATGAAAAAAACGACAGAGAGCACATTAATGCTGTTTTAATAAGCGGAAAATGGAGGAGAGAGCGAGCGAGGATAGTGAACAACAAACAAAATATCAACGCCCAAGTATTATTCCCGTATTCTCCATATTCAGTTGGTACCGTTTATACGCAAGATATTCCCATTTCATAGAGTAATGGAGGCTTTTCATTTGATTGAGAAAAATTCACTTGTGATTTCAAGTGCACACTTGCCACTAACGTCTGTGAACATGCTCACACATTTACTGGATCAAATAAAATTTTCAACATCATTCTCTTCAGAGATAAGCAATTCCTAAGAGCAACACCTAAATCGTATGTATACTGATAATTTGGAAAAGAGAGACAAATAAATGAGTGATGAACATCAGGAAAAAGAGCCAGAAGTATTTAGTACATGGCCTCGGAGGGCTTGCAATATTTTCCAGGAAGGAATAAACGAGCCGAAGAATTTCTCTTGTACGCACGCGTAGGCGATATTTCGGTCCAACGACCTTCTCTTTTCAGCTTCCCGCCCTTCCTGGATACACCCGACTTGAGTGAATTCTTAAGACTTTAAAACGTGTAAAGAAAAATAATAAGGAAAAATGTACACCTCGAATTATGTTAAGATGAGATTAGTGAGAAATTCCCCGAGAAAGAGAAAGAGGTAGAGAAAGAGAGAGAGAGAGAGAGAGAGAGAGAGGACCAAACTACATGAGTTTCCGCGATGCTCAGAGGCTTCCTTGTTTGCAGAGCGCCTGCGGGAG